CCCCAAGAGAGAGAGAAACACTTTGGAAAAAAATGAAGTATATTGTTCAACAAGGAACAGAAAATGAAAAAGGTAGGTAAGGAAAATAATATATACAAAGATTAGGGGAAAAATACAAAAAATAAAATATACAAAACCCTCAGAAATGGTTCCAGGGTCCCACGGAGTGAAAGGACAACCTCCCTCTCCGAGCTCCAAGGCAGGAGTGAAATTAGAAACCACTCCCTGCCTCTTATCAGAGTGTGTGTGGGAAGGGGAGGGAATACAATGGTTTCACACCCACCCGGGGTCCCCCCAGTTGCTGGAAGGTCACAGTCCCATTCCAAGTCTCAAACCACAACACTACCCAAGAGCAACTGTTAATATAACAAAACACAAGCATATTTGCAAGCTTTTTTAGAGCTAAATATAAATAAGTAGCAAATAAGAAATTAAGTTCAAGTAAGTGTCCTTTAAGTAATTATTCTACCATGCTCCTTCTCCAGTAAACAAGATACTTTCAACTCAGACTGAAAGCGAGAAGTGAAGCACCAGCTCAGTACTTAGCAATGAAAGCCCATCAAGATAAAGCTTTGCTGCTTCAGCAAGAAGTCTGTCATTCAAGTTCTACTTTTGCTGCTCAAGCAGGACCTGGGCACAGTATAATCTCTCCGCTAGATACCAGGGGGGTAAAAAAAGGGTAACTTACTAGCTATAGATAGAAATGTTAACATATAATATTCCAAATACAGCAAGAGCTGATGTTCTCATCATGAGTTTTTAGCAAAATATGTATACATTTAAACAGATCTCCTTTACATTTTGTTCTCAAATGCTTCCACCCTTAAAAAAAAGTCTTAACACAGTGTTTAACTCCAAGCTCCACTCACTGATATTTCACACCTAGATGAAACCCACTGAAAACATTTAAAATCTCTAAGTGTAAATGTTAACTATCTCAAAATGTCCTGATAGTTTTAATGCTAGTGTCTGTTTTTCCCTCTTATGTGCTTTTTTTTGTTAAAGCGTAAATTCCATGATTATATGCATTTAAAGAAAAAAAAGGCAGCTTTCAGCACTTTTTTAATACATATACACATTCTCAAGTTCCCAATGTTTCCTCTTTGGATTTCCTTCACCATACTACATGATTCAAGACACTTTTTTTCCCTTAGGATCTAAAGAAACCAGCCTCATGTCCTATAAAGAGATACCAATTTGCTTCTTTACGTCTTTTGTTTATTCTTCCAGCATAGAATCACTTAGGCCTGGTCAGGTTGCAGGAAGGACCTAAGTCTTGACAGGTTTAGAACTTAAAATTCATTAACCATGTTTGCTCAAAAAAGGTTTCAGAACAAAAAGTATAAGAATATATACCTCTTTACAGTTTGGAACTTCTATCCCTCTGTATTACAGAAGCCATTTATCACTGGAAGTATAAGCTAAACTACAGTTAATACAACAATAAAGTTGTACAGACAAGACCTGCAAGTTTATCATACTTAAAATGAAAATCACAACAAATGTAGCACTAGACATGCTAAATAGAAATGTAACAGGTGTCATTAACATGACTTTTCAAATACTGTCATTTGAAGAGAGAGAAGGATTGTTTACCTTTCATGAAAATCTGGATGAAAAATAAACTAGAATTCCAAAGAAAGGATGTAAAACACTTAAAATGCCTTAAGCTATCATGCCTTGTCAAGCCTACTGATTATGTCTCTATTAAATGAGCATCCGATAACTTCCATAAAATAAGTTATGAGGTCAATATTAAAATCAGTCTCAAGACAGTGGTAAAGAACAATAAATCTTTCATAAAAGACTTCAACCTTCTGTTTCAAATGAAAGCACATCCTAATTTACATGACTGGAGAAGCATCCACTTGTCAGAGAAAGATGAAGCAACTTGGACACAACCCCATTGTTCTACACAGTGAACAGAAAAGAAAGGATATCAAACTAAGTTCTAGGGCTATTTGCTCATCCACATGAGCCTCAATATATGCAACGCTGCAGAACTTTCTTGGGACAGCTTTTAGATTAAAAACACCTAGTGAAACTTTCTCCTGAAGATTCTCTATTCCTGGAGGGTAAAAAAACCACGACCCCAAACCGAACACTAACTGCATATCTACTGGACAAGATAAAAAAAAGCAACAGTGGGAGATTCAGTAAACTATTCTTTGTAAAAGCCATTCTATTTACACTTGCTTTTCCCCCAAAGATTAAAAAGGTGGCATCTATGTGATGGACATGAGCAACTCTGAAAAAAGAAGCTTCCCTTTAAAGCAACATCCTAAAAGTCTTTAATTTATAAATGAAAACTTGGAGATCCAACAAATTGTATTATTTTTGAGTAGGAAGTAGGATAGGAGAGATGTTAATACACGTTCTTGTTTTTGTAATCTGTATCTGCCATATTTGCAGACAGAAGTCTTCACAGGTTTTATTATCCTGCACTAGCCAGCTTACTAAGCAAGCCAGTGTCTGAGGGAGTGAGTTACAGATAGTATAAAAATACACTTGCGAAACTATGAGGCTTTTCCTTTGCAGCAAAGTGCAATAAGGAAGGAAGAATCAAGTAGAAGGGAAAACAACCAACCAAATACACAAAACCCCTACACCACCCCAAAAAAAAAAAAAAAACAAGCACTCTCCTTTGCAGGTAGAACAACCAAGTCTTTATTTCCCCTTCCCGATCACATTGCTTACTATGACCAGTTATCAGTTTCAGTGAAAAAATACAAGCAATTATTCTAAGGGATTGGTCTCCCATTTATGCTACCTCTTTAATTTGCTATTGTTAATACGCAAGTAATCAGTTTACAATTAAAAGATTATGATCTAGGATAATGAATTTCGTTGTCTCCATCCCCCTCCTCCCTTCCAGACTCCTAGATTTCCACCACCACTCCCCAAACCCAAAATACAGAAAGCATAGTAGGCAAGTAGTATGGGGCACTTGTGAAATGTATGAAAAAAACCAATCAACCAACAACAGAAAAGTCTTACTAACTTTCATTTTGATACATAAAACTATTAAGTTAAAGCAGTATCTGACCACACTTTCAACTTATGAAGGCATTCCATCAAGCACAGATCATACTTGAAGACACTCTTTATATTCTATGTTACATACTATAACCAGATTTAATCAATTCCACAGGAAAGTGTCATGTAGCAGACTTCAGACAGCATTCCAATAAAGAAACGTTACTCTAACTTTTGGGTTGTACCATCTTGCAAGAAAAAAAATTCTAAAGGAAAAAGAGCATGTATCAAAAAACTCTAGGCAAGTCCTCAAGTGTATTATCTTAAGGATTTACTAAAGATAATCTTTCCAAATGAGAAATAAAATCCAACTCAAAAGTATTTTGTCTACGAACAACTTCCATTTTCTAGAGTAGCCGCTTCCATTTAGAATTTACTAACCACAGCGTATCTATTAAAATAGTAACAACCTAAGGTATTAAAATTTACTACTCCAAAACTTGCAGCGATGTCATTTCTCTCATCTTTTTACTTCTGAGTAATAGGAAAAGAGTTCTGGTCCATTAACTCGCCCACTCTCTCCTGAAGGAAGTTAACCAACTCAGCTAATACAAAGACATGAGTTTCATCCAGGTCTTGTATGATGAACTTCTTTCCCAATGCATTTGACTCATCCAAGTAGAGCAGAAATTGCTTCATTGCTGGGTCACTGTAGGGACAAACAGATCAGAACCCACTGCATTGTAATACAATAAAGGTAAAAACAGAAAAAAAACCAGTGTTTGAAGACATTCCCAAAGTTCTTTGGGAGACTAATGCTAACTTCAAGAGGTGCTCGCCATTCCAGTAGAGTGTAAAGCTTTGGAGAAAGTTGTTTCTTTCGTACTAATTGCTTGGGTTACTTTACAGATGAAACCAAAGTGATAATAAAATGTAATGGGAAGAACCAGCTCCTTGATTAGCAGAAAAGTGTCCCTATGCTGCTGTTGAAGCAGCTTTAAAAGAAGCCACAGTACCCAACCCTTTTTAAGGCAAGTTTAAACCTACATTTCTATCTTCAGCAACAGCACCATAAAAACATGTTTTCTTAAAGCATATTTTTTGTTTAAAGGTACCCAAAACCCAAGAGAAGATAACCTCACCTGAAGTAGCATGGCAGAGAGAACAAGTGGTCATGTATGAACTGTACATGTATCACACCATAAATTAACACCCTCTTATTTTTCATGATGTCACCTTTTAAGTTAAATTTAAGTCTTTAGAAGGAAGCATTTTGGAAGTATGGAAACAACAGGTAACTGAAACAGCTGTATTATACTAAGCAGCTAAATAAAGTGGCTTCAAATAATAAGCTCTTTGATCCACTGCAATTTTGAAGAATTCAGAAAGTATTATTCTGACACAAGTTTTGACAAAAAAGGAAAAAAACGCTCTTTTGTTAAACTTAGTATTTGATTGCAACAGCTGGTGAAAAGTGCAAGAAATACAGTAACCTGGAATTAGATAGCTCAGAACACTTTCAAGATTATGAACATAGTTGTTTTGGCAATATAGTTTTTCTTAAAAAGAATTCTTAGTAGCATAGTAAATTTGAAAATGTCCTTAGTTAATTCCCTCTTAAGTGCAGTAGAAGGACTAATTCTCCCTTACCCAAAAGTATATATGGACAAAGACATATATTATGAAACCACACCCTCTCCCTGTCCTCTATACAGCAACTCAAAACATAACCTGTAGTACAGGCTGAAATATGCAGAAGCATGACTAGAGTAAGAACTCTCAGAGTACAAGTAATTTTGAGAAAAGGGTAACGTGAAACTCTGGAAGCATTATTGTCTTCAGAAGAAGCACTATTTACATGCTCTGTCATATAAGAAGAGAAACAAAATACTTGAGAAAAGTTAGATACCAAAAGTACACAATTTCCACCACTCTTTTGCATCCCCTTTTGGAGGGGTACAGGGAGGATTACTTTTTCCTTCTTTCAATCAGCTGTACTCTAGGGACTGACACAAATAGGATTATATGCCACAAGCTTTTGTCCTAGCTGGTATCACCAGCCTGCACGAAGCTCAGCAGTAGCCAGAAACTGATTTTCACACAATCAACATACAGAACTGTAATCGTGATTGTTCAGCGTCATCCCTCCTCACAACAATTCTTTTTTTGAGGGTCTAGACTCTTAACTTATCGAGAATATCTCCAGCTCTAAAGAACTAAGTAGACTTTAAAACAAGGCCAGGCAGCAAGTGCTGTTACTAACCATTCAATCAGGACGCCTTTCAGAACATTCACCATCTTCTCAGCTCTCTTACGAATGCTGAAAGAAGAGGTGACAAGAACGACTCGTGCTTTGGACTACACACGTAAACAGAGGAAACCTGAAAGAAAAAGAAACAAGGACTTAGTTGAACTCGGGGATCCTCCAAAGCCAGTTGGACAGCAGGGCTCGCTCCGGTGTGACGCCGAGCTACGAAAACCGAAATCCGCCCCGCTCACCCCGAGAGCTGTCCGGAAGGCTCTGCCCCCACCAACCCCGCGGGCAGCGCGGCCGAG